TATTGCAACGTTTTCTTGAAGGTTCTGGGGTAAAATCGTTACTTTTATCTGCCTAAGTTACAAACAATTTAGCTGAGTGGAATGCTTATATTACAATTTGCATTTTTCTTGCTTCGCCAATGTGGTATTTGTCAAACTGTCCTAATTTTATGTGGATCTCTTCATCACTAGGAAATCCTTCTTTGCCCTGTCAATAAACTCACGTACTAGGAAGAGACTTTTCCCGCCCCGCAGCATTCTCTTAAAAAAAGTCGACTGATATTTCCGTGGTTAGAGCTTTCCACTTCTCTCAGCTAACAAACATGTGGACAATAAATAACACACAAGGAGCCGTAGTGTCAATCTGTCTGAAAAAAATAAAGTGCATTCGCGTCATCGGACGCCTTGGACCGCTTTTGCTGTCGAAATGCATTTTACCGATCTCTAGGAAAGGAACAATGTTAGTTTCTTATTACTGACCACATAATTTTAGTTGTAATTGCTTTTCGTTTAAACAAACTCAGCTTTTCGATTCATTACCAAATGATTTCATGCGACTGAACAGTTACATTTGCCTTAACGACCCACTTCAAGCCGAAAATTACTCAACAGTGACTGCTCCACTGGGATGGTAGTCAGCTCACTGACCACTTCATCGTCTACAAATTTTGCGCCTGAGCGGAACGAGATCGCACTTGATTAGGTTTGGTCAAGTATACCTCATTCCCACAAAAGCTGGCCAGGGTACATTTATTGCAACTGCGGGCGAACAACTTTGTTGCCCCCGTGAGCTGAATTGGAAAAATGAATAAATTAGCCGTTCCCAACCTGTGTGCGTGTGTTTGCTGGATGGTTAGTGGGTTGTGCAGAAGAGATTGAACAAAATGTGTAGAGTGACAGTTGAAGGGAAGTATATTCATCTCAAGCTGGCATAATCCGGCGTGTCTGAAATGACGTATATTCTAAAGGTTTATGGGAAACGTAACACGTAATTTTATAAAAGTGTTTTAAATCCACTGAACCATCTCTTGAACCCACAGTATTTCGTCTGATATCTTTTTGTGCTGATATTTTGGGTTGTGGTGTGAACTGGAGATTCAAACATTTTTTCCAACCGAGCCCCAATTGAGAGTGCTCACTTAGGTATTCATCGTCTTGGTAGTAACCAGCTTGTGTTGAACCAATTATCAACAAAATCTCCGCCCCTGAATACCGTCAAACCACACTAGAGGCAGGCAATGTGCCGAACGTTATAATCTGAAGATTCATATAAAAATGGTTTGAACTTCTTGATTGTGGAACAGACATAAGCGTCAAGCCCGTACGAGTAGATATTCGTGGGTAACGCTTAGAGGTCTTTCTGCTAGATTGCATGCCGTGCGTTAAACGTATTTCGTAAATTACGACGCTTTTATACTAAAGCGAAGCTAATCAGGAATTTTATTCACCATCAAGGAGAAGCATGTTCATCATACATTTCATGGTCTGCTCAGATTTCAAAGTAGTTGGGTTGGGACACTCCCCTGATTGGTTAGGTGTTTTATTTCATTTCTAGTCTCTTTGGTTCACATGGGGAAGACACTTGGTTGTTTCCTATACAACTGACTTGAGGTTTATGTCCGCCAACGAAGAGCTGAGATTGATTACTTGGAACATCATATGACGAGAAGACCTTTTCTGAACCCAAAGTCAAGTTCTCTGGGTCATAGCGAAGTGAACTCCCCTGTTTGCTTTTCTTTGGTGGTCCGAAATTACAATCCTCCACTATATTATAGAACAATATTTACTGCGAATTTAGCAGGCTACAAAGTTCTGTTATGACTTCAGCTAACATGAAAATTATAGAGACATGGTTCCCACCGACTTTTCACAACGTGGTGATTTGAGCAACTATTTCACTAGTTTTGTCGGTTAGATTTTGGAGATGCAATTTACCTGGTGAACTGTTTCAGATATAATTTCCAAGCCAAGATGTAATATCCGTTAACTATTCAAAAACATCAAACTAAAGTTCAATTTTTATCCCCTGTAGAAACTGGTAGTAACCTATAAAATATTTATTTAGTGCAACTACATTTTGAATGCGCCCGGAGTATTAGCAAAACAGTGAATTTGCTCGTTCAATTTAACGAGGGGGACGAAAAGATAGATCGCAATACTATAGCACTTTTTTGCCTTCGGCTGCCGCAGATATTAATGATGCATGTATTAAATGAATGTAATGTGCAAAATAGCAAACCAAATGGATATTCCCGAAATGGTATTATGGTGACTTCCATAAAATGCATAAGCTTTTGATCAGTACTTTGGTTTACATAAATGAAGCTCCCTTTTATTATAAATTCTCCTAGTGAACACCAACAGCCTGTTCTTTGGATTGCAAAAGTTAGAGAACCCATCGCATCAAGTAACTCGCGCACTGTCAGTAAGACCGGAAGTGATGTGGTCAACTGTTCTCCATCCGGTAGCTGCTGCCAGATTCGGTGAATCTGTTTATCTAGTTATTTTTGGAAGATCTCGACCAGCGCTTCCGAAATAATCATAATTTCTTCGTCAAATTAGGAATAGCCCAGTAGTTCAGAGAGACAGCGAGCTGGACGTATTTCCGATGGCCTGTAACTTGAACCATCAGCACATGGGAACAGGTATTCAAAAAACAAACGAATGCAGCCACACACACAACCCATGGTCCTGCCGTTAAGTCCTGCTGAGCTGCACAGTTTAACATATCTCTCAAGTACCAAACAGAAAGTTTTGCCTGGGTTCACCCGCGCTGGCAGTAAGGAACTTCCCGGCAGTTTAAGAATTGTTCTGACTGCGGATTCCCTTACTGCTGCCTGATTGACTGTGAAGCTTAGAAGCTCAATGAATTGCCCAATGGAGCACTTTAGGTGGCATTGTTGATGTGGGCGGATTTTAAGTATGTGCGATTTGTATGTCTGAAGGAATGTGACAAAGGATCTACTCCCATAAAATGAGTGATACCACATTCAATGCCATTTAATCGCAGGTTCAACCAGCTGATGGAATAGACCAAGCTATTTACCAAAGGAATAAAATTGGTGGATGAAGAGCTGAAGACAGTTTTAGGTAGACAAACACATACATCAGATTGTCATGTCGTTGTCAAATCAGGGTAGAAGACCACACTATATGTTAATCATGGCCTGGTGGTCTGCATCACTCCTGGGACTCATCAGAGGTGGGTAGTCAGCATTTAACTAGTGCTGATCGTTAGTTCCGAAATATCGACATTGTTATGTCGGTTGTTTGCAGAAATGAAATAAGTTGCAAATGAAGTGCACAATAATCAAGCAGCAGTGAACGGAGTTAAAAATTATACAACACGGTATACCAAAGTGAATGTAAAAAAGAATTCTGGGGTTCAAGTGAGAAGACATTACTGAACACCACACGAAATATTCATAATTTCATAATTTCATAATTTCATAATTCATAAACATTCATAATTTCGTCTGGTGGGGACAAGTGAATAGGTGAAACCCATAGCAAATGCGAAAACTCCATTCCACTCATGAAATTCACACATAACGTACTCATGACACTCTCACGGTTAACTAATGCTACGAAGTATTCAACTTGTTCCGAACAACAATGGCTAACACAATTTCCTTCTGGAAAATTTGCAGGCTAAACTCATCATAATTTGTTGTGTACGAAGCCGGGGCTTAGAAAGAAAGATAAAAATAGTCTAGCAGTTGGAACCGGTTGCGTCCGGCTTGGTGAGTCTGTCAGTCAGCACTACTAGGGAGCTCAGAATACACCCATGCGGCTTACTGTAGTTAGTCATGATTTGACTTGATTTGATAAGTGCGACGATGGTATTTAAAATTAGTTGATAGGTTGCCAAAGTGTGCAAGACGTTTTGGTTCCTCCTTGTCTACACGCTGATGATCCATTAAGGTCTGCTGAATTGGTGTCTTGGTGGTACGGTTTCCCAGAGTAGTAGTCTACTAGCACTGTAGTTATGAATGCCCCTCTTCAGCCATCTATCTCTGAAAAAGAAACGATAATAGGCCAGAATGATGAAATGTTTCATTGGATGCACGTTTACTTCTCAGTTCGCTCACATTTTATTTCAGCTGTTGGTAGCGGACATGCAGCATGGATAATGACGTTTTCACGTTCAGTGGATCAGATTTGTAAAATTGCAGTAACGAGTGACCCCACGAGTATGAATAGCTGGTACCTAAACAGTTTGAAACCTTGAGACAAAATGTGGAAGGTGGTTTAAAATCAAAATGACAACATTTGGAGATCCTCAGTACTTGTTCCATTGCATTTCGTGCCCTTAGGCAACGGCTTGCCGATGTTGACGGCTCAGGACGCTCTGCAACTGAAAACGCACCATAGTGATCAAGTAGTCCAGAAATTCGAACGAAGGGTATATTATCAATGTAATCATTGTCTCAACACCTTCAGGGCCTAGCCAACAACCGTGCCTGTAATATACAAGACCTAGTAATTTCTGGTTTTAGGAGAAAACCTGTACGCATCAACCGTGAAATGAAAATCTTTTCAAATACATTGAAGAAGATTATTAGACCTGTCTCACAGTTGAATCAGGTACATAGAAAAACCGGATAAGGTATAAACATGGTTTCTCTTATATGCCTCAAACCAAAGATTGCGGTTTGGAACTTCGAAGGCACTCATTTGTGCGGTTGAGTACTGCGATGTGTAGTGAGCAGTGGAAATATTTTAAGCTGTCGTAAAGTTCCTACTCGTGTGTATGCTCCAACAATATACTACTCTGCGAACACGCAGCCCCGTTGGGCATGCTGAAACAAATCAACGTGTGGTGAGTTACGAATGATGGGTTACTAGTGGCGAACGAAGACTTGCTGATTAACCCGTACACAATCACCCAGTGGCGGAATTGGTCTTCCTTACTAACACGAAACTCGGTGAATGAAATTCATTAGGTTTTACAAATATTCTGTGTGGACTTTTTAAACACCTGAATAAGCCTTCTCTGCTTTTGCACTCATTATTTCTAGTTGTATGCTTTCGTAAACCTTTCGTCCGACAAACAAGCTTGCTCATGAAATTCGATAAATTGTTCCTAAATGCAGATGTGGAAATGGGGCGACTCACAGCAACGGGAGATCATATAGAAAATCATCAACACGGAAACCTTGCTCGTGAGAATGGTGCTGGTGGTGATGATAACGAATTATCCCCGGATACGGATGAAGCAGCCGACCTGGATGCTGGTGCAAAACCCAAAAAAAGAAAAAAGAAAAAATATTCAGTATTGCAGGCCAAGCTCACCCGTTTGGCCAGTCTAATTGGTCAGCTTGGTAAGTTGCCTGAGCTGTTTAACCGTCTTTAGGGCAGATATACTTGAGAAAAGCGCAAAGTCGTTACTGGCTCTCATGTGCCAACATAATACAATTTTTGTATGGGCCATGTATACCATATCCTCGGTAGGACTCCCTAGATTTAGCAATTTACGGCAATAACCACTATGTTCCTAGTGCTTAACAGCGTTGACGAGAAAGTAGTTCGTTTGATCGTTATTCATAGTCATAGCGAACCAAGAATCACAAGTGAAATTAACGAACTCAACTGCGGGAACTAGTGGGCTCATGTAGCTGCTATCTATATGGTCGAGTATTTCATCCCTCCATGTCCACTTGATGTGTCTCGTTAAACAGGAAAACCCTCGTGTCCCACACCGTTCTGGAATATGATCACATCTTTAAATCAGATGGGTCATTTACCCTAGTAAGTTTTTAATCTTCCAGCAGTGTCACAAAATCTTATATATAACAGAGTAAAACAGAACCATGCTTTCGATTGCAGGCACGGTGGTCGCGACACTCACAGTGATCATTCTGATCATCAAGTTTTCCGTACAGACATTCTATTTTGACAAAGAACCATGGGATACTGGGCGCCACCTACACCAGTTTGTCCGCTTCGTGATCATCGGTGTTACGGTTCTCGTTGTCGCTGTGCCAGAGGGACTTCCGTTGGCTGTCACCATATCCCTTGCCTATTCAGTGAAGAAAATGATGCGAGTGAGTTATTTGTTACTGGATACCTAATGCCATCGCTTTTTATTTATCACCCTTCATTGAATAGTGCATCTTCATGAGACCTACATTTCCACTGTCAAACTTTTGATAAACACTCCTTGTGAATCACGGGTCCTGGAGACTCAACTCACAGTATATAACGCCATAAATTCTTACTTAAATAGAACTAGCCTGAAAATCTTTTCAGATACCTTGCAGCTTGAAAAACCATTTATACAGCGACAAAACCTAAAAAATGGGTATGTTCTGTCAGCCAAATTGTCTCCCATCGGACTGACATGCTTATCTATTTTGCTTAATTCGGAAAAAATAAACAAGGGCAGTTATCCTCTCTTATTTTGCTCCTATAACAACATTGTACTTTCTATACATGCACTGATTTAGCAGCTCAGGCTTGTCGGTAGCGTCGGTTTATTCACAACTGTGGAAATGCTGTGCTTATTTGATCAAACCTTCACTTCGATTGTAGTTCACATAAGCTGCTCTTCCTGATTCTTTGAAAATGGTTTTAGGACCGGGCTTGTCAACTTAATAAAGTGCCACAATCAAAATCCTTCTAGCTGCTGATGGCAGCAGGCGCGTCAATGTTTTATCAGCACATCAACTTTCAATTGTTCAAATTTTCTTTATTTAACGCACATAGTTTTAGACGCCAGCTAGCAGCGACGCCTAAATCGGTAACTTTTGAACTGAAATTATAAAAAATGATATCTTCTTGTTGGTAGAATAATTAGCTAGCAACTAGGTAAGACAGCTACAATTCTGGCTGAATAACCGATGACGTAGTTATCTAAAATTGGAGGGGCTGGCAAGCTAATGATGAAGGTAATAAGGATATTCCTTTTTTACTTGCTTGGCAATTTGATTAGCGTTTCCACTGATCAATAGAAACAATATTTGATGGCTTTTCGTTTTTGTAATTTCAGCGTTCTTCTCCAGGCAGCTATGAGAACAATTTGGTAATCAAATGCGTCGTACTGAAAACGCATTACTTAAGAGTGACATTAAAAATCCCGGATTAGTCTGTTGTTTTTGTGTTTACACAAAAATAGTTTGACTCAGATCCACTTGAGAAAAGATAAAAATATTTTTGCTCATCTCAGTTCCTGTGGGGGTCATAAGAAGCTAGTAGTTCAAGACATTCACCATATTCCTGATCCACTTAACAGGTTCTTGTTAATGAGGAGAAAAATGTTTTGCCTTTCTGTACCGAAAACATTATTGACGTAAAAAATTTTGACCAAGTCAAATGCTAGGTACAGTCAGAGACAAACACAACAAAGTACCAGATACTGGTTAAACCGTTACACATATTTTGAAACATCTTGGCCCTGGTTTGTGACTCAACATTCTGGAAATCATAGGCATTTTACAAAATGAAATAACGTGGGCTTTTTAAGTGGTCTCAGTATTCTCCCTGCTCCATTTTCAATTAAAGTCTGCTGGTTTGTGATCGTATCACTAAACGAAAGGATAGGACAAGGAACATCATTTACGTGAAACAACATTTACGAGGACTGGTGAAGCCCTGGGTCTGTTTTACAGTGTTGTTAATTCTACATGCGCTAGCAAACCTGGAGAACTCAAGATTCCTTAAGCTGGTGGAAACTTGCGCGGAGTGCGTACCACCACAAACTGTTTGAGCTAAGCAGCATGTGGATCAATTGCAACTGTAAATCTCTGAGAACAAATCAACAGCCACCTAATCAACAACCAGCACGTGCATCAACCTGAACATCCTGTACCCAAAATATTAAGATAGCATCATCATCATCATTGTGAGCTGTAATAACTGCGTGCTCGTCTTACAGTGGCTGTAGCTGCCACAGTTTCGTTCAACGATGATTTGTGGGGGGAGGGGTAGGTAGATGCGCATTGCAAGCGGGAGCTGATAAATTGGTGCATAAATCCAGCCCTCTCAGTGGGTTGTCAGCTGGGGGGGTTGGAAAGGGAGCTATGCGTTGAAGGAAATAGCTTGGATCCCAAGCGTTATCCAGCCCTCTCAGTGGGTTGTCAGCTGGGGGGGTTGGAAAGGGAGCTATGCGTTGAAGGAAATAGCTTGGATGCACAAGCGTTATCGAGGGCGCGACTGGACCATGTCTGACAATGTCTCTAGCCATTGGTTTGGCCCGTCTCGTGGTCCCCATCCAGGAAGACGGCAGTGACCAGCGCAGCTGAGTTTGCTGGTAATGGCTTTCATACTTCGCTGCTTAGTCATTGTTTGACCCCCTCTGGCTCTCTTCCAACCTTCACGTGGTTGTGCGAAAAGAGCCCTTCGAGGATGAAAAGAAAGGAACAGTTTTAGATACGCCCTTATGCTTAATTGGTGCTTCATAATTTTCATCGCAACCCGGTACAACTGAGCAGTCGAGCACATCGGTGTATGCGAAGGAGCATCTGGTGACCCCCACAAGTCCTGCGACTTATCGTAGACACACACGTGTGGTTAGCCAGCTGAATCTGTATAGCAGTCGGCACTCAACCACTTTTATCACCATAAGAGGTTCAGTCATCTGGTAACTTGTGAAGGCTACAGTGGATGTAGTAAACTTACTTAATCCACCGAAGTTCGACGGCGGATTAATGTGTTCGCTCGTTGCTAATCAGTCCAATGCGGTCAGTACTAAGGCGGTCACAGTCGCTGGAGATCCGGTGTGTTCGGTCTCCCGGTCATTATTATTTAGAAATAAAGGCCTTATTTGAAGAGACGCAGATGTTTTACCTGTTATACCGGTCATAACCAATGTTAACGCAATACAACGGTGTCTGGATTCACTGCTATGTCTTCGGCACCATAACGCAAATCTCTGGTTGCTGCGCTAGTGCCTATGTAGATTACTATTTTCAATAGAATTTCTGCTCATTATCAGCACACACCACATTAGCCTTTTAGTCTGCCACTGAGCATTACGGAATGCGATTATGCAAGCGCTTTCTGAAATATTCCAACAAAGATATCAAATGAGTGCGACCAGTTCATTCGGCGATGATCTCAGTGAATAGTCCAAACTAGGAGCATAAAAACTGTTTAAGCGCATAGAAAACCGGAACTAACGAACACCGATATCTTGGTCCGTGATGTTTCCCTATTCCGCTTCGATAACCCTTGTGTCCATTTCTGAAGCACGTATGACAATTTCGTCCTTGGGGGAGGGTGGATACATCTTATGCACTAATGAAATTAGGGGTAGAGTACTTGGCTCGGATCACCTTTCTGACTCACTAATATCGTCTATAGACGGTCAGTTATTCCAGAGAATTCAGATAAGTAGCATGGTAATGAAAATCCAACAGTGCATGTGCAAAACGTTTGTTAGACATGGGGCTCATAATCAAGGTGTATCAGCGTTAAGTATTTACTACGATCGGCATAAATGAATTGTCCGATTTTCGTCATTTAGTAAGCGTGTGTGCTCCACATGCTCACATTAGCCTAGCTCGCAACACCATATTTATCGTGATCTGAACAGCATGATTTTTATATCACGTATAGCTACCACTTTTCTCCGTGATTTGCCTGTTCACTGTGGAAAGATTGAATTTTGTCCCGAAATACATAGTTTCATAGTTTCATGATGAAGCGACCTGAATTTACATTTCGGACATCAAACTAACGTGCAATAAATTGCTTTAAGCATTTCATGCAGTGCTGATTCGATCTAGACAGGATTCATGAAGATCGTCGTGCAGACAGAGTGAGTTTAGTAACAAGATACATAAAAACTTGCACTCTAGAACGACCATTATATACCTTGTACGCCTATTACTACATATTATAGCAAATAACTTGAAATGTGTCCCTTACCTGACGACCTCAGCTGCGGTTGCCAAAACCTAAATATTAAAATACCAACGTTGCGGAAGGAGCTACAATTTGAGAATTCCATCGTAATGATTCGCAGGTTTCCGTGTACTCTATATGTTCGTACTCGTTCTGGTGGTGAAAAAGCCCATCTTCGTCTTCAAACTGTGTCCGCGTAAGCAAAAAGATATGATTCTAAATATGTCCTTCTAGGAGCGAATGGTCTTAATCATGCACATTATCACCTTCTAGAAAACGTGACTATTCCAAATCGGCTGTGCCCAATGTCTGCACATAGTCTTCTACATTCCCTGCCGGTAAAATCAACCAAGGGGACGGAGGATATGACATCCGCGAACCATTTATCGTTTTTCTAATCTATAAGTGTTCAGACCATATGAACCAAATTAATCGCTGTTTTAGATGGTGGTAGTCACGTATACCTTCAGAAGTCTTTCGAATATCACATGATGTCCTATATGCTGGTCGATTGTGTGATTGCAGACTAGAATACCTCCGAGGTAAAAATCGGGGCATTGCATTACCCTACTACCATTTACCTCCACTCTAGCAAGTTTTCGCAAGCTCAAGGAGGCTAGTTTATGGCAAACGGGTCAAAAGCAACACTAAAAACGTTTCGTCGTCTCTAGACGCCAAATTTCTCCTTACTGTTGCATCAACAAAACCCATCTGTTAATGACGCAACACACTACCTCTGAGTTTGCCGTATTCACTGACTAGTAGGTATTTGAAATTTCATCGGGAATCATTCAGAAAGTACCGATATGCCTCCGCAAATACAGGATACAGGCTAAATTTAACTTAATTTTACACAATATCTCCTTGATTCTCTGGTAGAGCATCCCAGTTTTTCCTGGCCAGTCAAAATAAATTGATACGACGCCATTCGTTCACTGTCCATTGTATTTCTTACCACTTGAATGGGGGCACAATTGTTACGTGCTGGCAGTTCTGCCAAATATCCCCAGCAAACCATATACAACAGGTTGACTGACTACCTATGTATTGTTGTCGTTATTTACTACGTAATCTGCCACTGCCATATGCAACCGTTTCATATTTCCAAAGTGGCCTTTGTAGTCCCAGCTCTAAAGAGGCTTTCGTAGTGCTCTACTCTTAGTTTTTTCGGCGGTGATCGCATTCAATTTATGACAAAGGG